TTACTGTTTGTCAGACTTTCCTTCACTTCCTGCAGGCTCTTTGGGGCTGGTTGGTGATGTTCCACCCCATCATTTCTATAATAGTCTCATACATCACCGGGAAAGGGGCACTCAGTCTATCAACCTCTGTTTTCCCACATTGAATTTTCTGTTACAGGCCCACTGTCCTCCATGTAGTGTTATGCTCTGGTTACGTATTGGCTGGCTTACATGTGATTTCTACTGCGGAAATGGTTTTTGGTGTCACCATCCGTCTGTACCTGCACATCATCTCCACACATGGCTTTGTCTGGTCCATCACAGGAAGGGCTTGATTTTTACATGTAGCTTCCATTGCTTTCAGTCCTGTACTTTCTTCCTTCACATGAGGTGGATTACTTAAGGTGTTATTGTCCTTCCCATCCTATGGTTCCTTACATACCATTCTTTTTTCCTTGGCTTTTTGAAGAGGGCCTTTCAGTTTCCTCTAGTGTGGGCTATAGGGTGGCATTATATGCTAGTCACTTTTTGGTTTACTGACTTTGCTTGTGTTTTCAAGTTGTCAATTTTATCTATGTTGTTTTGTTCCTTCTGTTTTACTCATCCATGCTTTTCACCATCTTCCATTGGATCTTTTCTCTTCATGTTCTTTAAATCAATTTTCCATGAAGTCAGGGCTCTCTGATGGTATATGACACATCATACTGCTCTCTTCTACAGTTCCCAAGTTCATTTGTTTCTTCTGTAAAATCCTTACCTCTTCTATGGCATTTTTCCCATTACCCTTCCAGATTGAATTCGCCATTTAATTTGCCCAGCAATTTTCTTCCCTTCTCTTTTCATGTTTTCTTCCCATCAGATCTGTCACCTTACCAAGTCCCTGGCTGCACATTTCCATCTTCCCTTGGGTGACATCAGTGATCTAGCTGTTTATCTGTGGGTGGTAAGTAGTCTGTTAATTTTCTTTTTCTTTGCAGGGGCCTTTATCTCATATTTGGATCACACTCTGTGGCAGGTGTTGCCTGTCCAGGTATGCTTTGTCTTAAATCTGTTGAGGTCTGTTGCTTCATAAATATGTTCGTCATGGACTAACATGAGTAAAGCAGACAGGGATTACTGCCCATCTCTGTTGATCTGTAGCACTGAGGCTCTTACTACTGCAAACCCGATGTACCATTCCAGATGCTGCTTGGTGTTGATTACTCAACTCTGTCAGTATGATTGCTTTGCTTTTCAAAATAGGTATCGGGTCACCCGTTGCACAGTCTTGGGTGCCATGGTCCTCCAGACTTTCCAAAACATATTTTCCCTTTTTTATTTAATGAAGTATGGGAGTCCTTGTCACTTACCAGTTTCTAGCTGCTAGGGTGGTGGACCACGGAGCCCTGCACTCCTGATTGTGCACAGTACCACTCACTTGAAAGGGGGGAGGTGGCATTCTTCTGGTATAGATGGTGTGACACCCTTCCTACCATGGACCTGATGTATAATTCCAGATTCCACCAGGTGTTGGATGTAGCACTCTGCCATATATTGCAATTTGCCCCTCCAGCTGAGGCACCCTCATTCCTACCATATGCCAGATATTGTTTCCCATGGATCAGGTGTTGGTTGGAGGTGGACAAGCCACATAAGTCCTCATATGTGTTTGGATGGTATCCTTCTCCTACTGCGGACTGGATAATAAATTCCCAATGCCGCAGAGTTTTGGACTGAAGATGCAACCCAAATAATGGTCCCTCTTCCTACCATTCACTGGGATACTTGTTCCCAGTAAATCTGGTGTTGGTTGTAACTGGGCGAGACACGTGAATTCCTGCATGTGTAAGGCAGCAACTCCAAGAAAAATTCCCAATGCTGCTAGGTCTTGAACCGGACAAGAACACCCACCTGGGCTCTCCACCTTCCTACCATCTGTTTATTGTTGGTTCCTGGTGGATCTGGCATTAGTTATGTTGGAGGTGAGTGTATGTGGAGGCAGATGTTTGGTACAGAAGCCTCTCCTCTCTGCTGGTACCTGTTGGCTCCAGGTGGATCTGGCATTAGTTATGTTGGAGATGAGTGTATGTGGAGGCAGATGTTTGGTACAGAAGCCTCTCCTCTCTGCTGGTACCTGTTGGTTCCAGGTGGATCTGGCATTAGTTATGTTGGAGATGAGTGTATGTGGAGGCAGATGTTTGGTACAGAAGCCTCTCCTCTCTGCTGGTACCTGTTGGTTCCAGGTGGATCTGGCATTAGTTATGTTAGAGGTGAGTGTATGTGGAGGCAGATGTTTGGTACAGAAGCCTCTCCTCTCTGCTGGTACCTGTTGGCTCCAGGTGGATCTGGCATTAGTTATGTTGGAGGTGAGTGTATGTGGAGGCAGATGTTTGGTACAGAAGCCTCTCCTCTCTGCTGGTACCTGTTTTTTAGATGAAAGGCAGAGAACCCTCTCCCTACTGTATTGGTTGAGATTGAACTCCCATTTACAGTCTTTTGCACCTTAGCTACTCTACACCAGAGAGTCCCAATATTTCTGTAATTTTTCTTGGGGTTCCTCCATGTTTCCACCCTTTTTGGTGACACGTTACTAAAGGATGAAGAGTACACCTGGCCCAAAAGTGGTGTAGTCTCCCACGAGTGTGTTGTTTTTAATTCTTTCTCATGCCTCATAGTTTTCCTTTGGGTGCTTCCTAAAGAGGGGATCATCTTCTCAAGAGCCTTCCACCAGTTCAATGTGGAATTCTAGTTTTTTGTAAGAGGAGGTAAGATATCGTATCGGAAGTTAATATTTTCCTAAATGAAAATTATTTACAATAGATACTTACCTTTTCTCACATTTCCAACCTGTCCTCCCCACTTCTGGTGTGATTTGGTGTGATCTGACCAATCTCAAAATGGTTAACAGCTGCATGACTAGAAAGGGCAGTAGTTATGATAGGGGTAGTGTCACACTCTTATTGGTGGAGGGTTGCTACATAATAATTTGCACATTAGTATGCATAAATAAGTGGAAGTATCAAGGCTAGTGGCGAGTGAAAATTTGCACCTATAGAGGGAAGTATAAGTTAAGAAAGCTTTTTTGTGGGAAGAGGTAAGTATCTATTGGCAATATATTTTCAGCTGAGGAAAATGTTAACTTTTATCAATTATATAAGTTTCATTTACAAATCAGAATTAGGGTAAGAATTAATAATGCAATATTATTTATTTATTTTAACACCAATTAATTATTAGTATTTTGTACAAAAATTGTCAACCACACTACTATATTTAGAATCGATAAGACCTTTTGCTCAAATAGTAGGGATATTTTTATCCTAATATGAATACAATGTCTCCAACCTTTTTGGTGTTACTGATATCCTTGAAAATTTGTCATTCTCACTGTGCAAATGGATACTTACCAAATCAAACAGAAGTTAGTACAAACTTACTTGATAGTATCCAATTTCCTATTTAAGAATTATGTTTGTAATTTAACATAGTATTAATATCATTGTTTACGTTGTGAGATTTCCAAAATATTGTGAGAGGCTGTTTTTTTTTAATTAAACTACTACCTTTTGTCGTAGAATTTAGATTATTGTTGATCAGAAATTTTGATTTTATATATCAAGTTAATTTCAACTTGATTGACATTCATTATCATATTTCTCTGGATACTTTGTTTTGCCATTTTCAGTATTCACAACTTCAGGCTATTAATCATAAACAGACATGGTTTTTGCCACTAAGAAAGATTTATGGTGACTTCACCTTTCAAAATGACATCATCATTATCTCTGTCAGGCTAGGTATCATGACTTTTGCTAAATGTAATCTGCTCAAGATCTGTTTATATGTAATAAGTACAGATTGTTTTCAACAAATTATAATGTTGTGTATCTGCTTGTTTGTTAATTTCCAGTATAAATTCTTTTCGAGGAAATTCAGCAATACAAGTCCCTTCTTGATTAAAACTAGTTTATTCTTTCTCAGTACAACTTTGTAATACACAGAATTTCCACAGTCACTTTAAACTTAACTACTTTTATAACACATGCTAAAAATCACAGTGATTCAATAAACTTTACTTACGGTGTCTACTGTTCGCTTGACTCAGTTATCTATATCTTCAATCTATCTGCCTATCTATCACTGGATTTATTTACCGGGCTTATATACTAAAAAAGAGGGCATCTGGCAAACACTCGGACATTCGCGGGGTTCCTCGATAATTCATAATCCATCGAGAAACACCAGTGCACATGCTCTCAGCATCGCGTGACTTCCGCTGTCATAACAATAAGTTATTTTTTTGTGTGCATTCTTTGAATACAATAATCTTAGCATTAAATAAGAATTTGAGTCATTGGATTATTTTTGCCATCATTTACCATACTTACTAAACCTAAATGACCCTACCTAATGCCTTGTCATAGAAAATAATTTCTGTAGCTTTCAAATACATAATATTATTTGAAAAAACATTTTCTAGTTATATTTCAAAAGTGACCTTCATTAGTAATTGTTCAGATGTCTTTCTGTGATATTATAAGAGGATAAGAATGAAAGGCTGAAGTGATTAAAATACTAACACAGAAGGATAATTATGTGAAAATCAAGACATGAATATGCTTTCCAGATTTCTGATTTTTCTTAAGTTTTCTAAACTTACCATTAGATTCCTTTGTTCATCCATGTAAGAGTGCTGTCTAATCACTTTCCTACATGTATTTTAATTATGATTATTAACAGACAAAGATAATCATGTAAAGAAAAAAATATATGGAGAAATATATTCTCAAAGGATGGTAATTAAACTTCTTAAGAAATCTAAACCTATAATTGTAGATAGGCAGAAAAATTCTAAACAATTTGATAAGTATATTGTGTGGAGGCAAGACTTCTCAGCACTATGTGTAAATGAAAATTTGAATGAGCACTTTTTTTCATTTTTGTTAATTACACTGAATGTTATAAAATGTCATTTTGTTTGTAAGTCATGAAATACTGATATCAACTTTATTATGTAAACGTTATCCTTAAAAAAAAAAAAGATATTAGTGTTTATGGGAAACCACTATATCTGACTTTGATAGCCAGAAGATCTCAGAAATTTGCTGGTACTAGATTTTTGAAACGAGGGTCCAACTGTGAAGTAGGTATATTTAGTAGATAAAAAATAATAGCAATTTGTGAAGTTTTCTAGTTTAAGGAAATGGCAGAAGAAATTCCAAAAAGAAACCATGCTTAATTTTTTTAGTTTATTTGTAAAATCTTAGAAAATCTTTACATAATTCATGGAAACCGTGAAATTTCCTACTGAAAGTAAAACTGATTGTACTGCCATTTATAAAAGGAAAATTATAGCAATTCAATGATTGTTTGAAAGTATTGATTTTCCATTTTCTTCTTAGACCTGCAAAGAATAGAGGGATTATAACATATAAAAATAATGGTTTATTGAACTCGTAGGTGTTATTACATTAAAACATAAAACACTTAAAGAAAAAAAAAATTAAGCCATTCTCAAGGCTTTATTATGGAAGTTAGTTTTATAAATATGACTTTTATAGGTTCATTTATCTAAATGATGGTTTTTAATGACTGTTTATAATAAGTTTTATCCAATTCTTAAAATTAATGAAGTGAACCAGTGGTTCTGAAGTTTATTTATCACATGACCAATTTCCCATTATTTTGTTAATTAATAGTAAGTTTGTAACAAGAAAATTTTCAAAAATGCAATAATGACAGGTAATTTGGAATGAAACAAACATTTAAAATATTTAGATTTGGTATTTGCTTCCCATAATATAAATGAAAGTACAGGAATAAGATAAAGAGAAGTAATAGAGGTGTAGGTAATGTTGGCAGTGTTACAGCTCCTCTGTTTAAATTAATTTATGTTTTTGATGGAAGAATTTAATTACTCAGAAAGTGATTTAGCCAGGATATTTACTGTTATTCCAGGGTCATGTTGCCAATGAAGTGGAAACTGAACAGATTATCCATGATTCTTCAGTCTCGTCATTTACTTTAGGACATTTCACTGCTTTTGTCCAAATGAGAGGGTCTGTCCCTTCTCATTGGTCCCAGGATATTTCTAAGATGGTGCCCAAGCCTCCAATTTCATGTAGGTTATACAAAAGCTTTTACTTTTAATGTAACATAACTTGATATCAGTTACATTAAGGTTACTGAGGGGAATAATGATAGTGTTTCATTTCCATACACAATACTAACACAAGAAAATACTGTTTTCTTACTCATGAGATATAGAGAAAAATACTCATAAAAAAGTGCTGATTTAATCTTTGAAGTGAAAAAAGTAATGTGTACGTCCATAAACATGAACTGTTTTGAACAACACCTATGACTACCTTAGCATGCTAATTTATATATAATGTTATCACACTGTGAATACATTTCTGTTTCTAGTCAGTAATACAAAATATTACATGATGCATACATCTCTTTTTAGCAGAATATCACTTGGAAGTTATCACATGATGTATACATCTCTGTTACTAATTAATAACACAAAATATCACTTGGAAGTTATCACATGGTGCATACATCTCTGTTACCAGTCAATAATACAAATGAGATCATGCAAATGAAATTTGACAATTTTTAGATGAAGAAAAATATTTTTAATCTTGACATGAAAATCTCTTTGTACTTGGAGCAGTCAACATTTTTATTTCATATATTCACAGAGAAAGTTTTATTGAAAATACTTCTGATATTTTGTCTACAAAAGACTTAATGCTTAGTGAAAGCTTGCAAAAATTTTGTGAAGATACACAAAACATATTAGAAGTTCTAGTGTGGAAATTATAAAGGTCAGTTTGGGGTCATGAACTCAGCCAATTTGACTGAGCCTATAGCAAGAGTGTTAAATTACAGTAGGTTTTAGACATTCTGTTCTAGTGCCTGGCATATTTTTATGTTAGAAAATGCTCATCTGAAAATAACATGAATTATTTTGTGGACAACCAACACAGTGTGAAAAAATTAGTCTTATTGAAGTACATTCTTGAGTACAAGTAGTGCTATTTGCTTAGGTAAGTCTTAAATGAGTTTTTGATGTATATTTTTTATTTATTGTTATAAATATTTTAATGAAGTTACTACAATGTAAAAATTAGAAACTAATTACTTTAGATAAGAAGATGTAAAAGAAAAAAAAATGATAAGATTAGCTCAGGCTAGCTGCATCACAAAATTATAACTTGATCTGTTGTTCATACTGAGTTCTCCTACTATAGTAATTGACTGTCATATCATTAGATAAAGAATAAAGGACACTGTAGAGTAATAAAATTAAAAGCAAGCAGATGTGAAATATTTAGAAAACTGAAACTGTGTTAGAATAATAATTGTTATTGTCTGTTGTAATCTGGAATCATTCTAGAAAAGAGGTTTTCATCATTTTATTTTATATTTTTTAATAGTCTTCCATGTTTTTGCTACAGTTGGTGTTAGAGAAAATAAGAAATACAGTTTAAAGATTTACTAAAAAACTTGATTCAGTTAGGAGATTTTACAAATGAAAAACTACTTTTCATTCAGACTGATTCAGTAAAAGCTTTGTAAATTAACAAACAAATCTTTAGTGTTATACTTTATTTAAAAATGATTTTTTGTGTACAAGAAACTTTTAATGTTTGTTAAATTTCATGAAGATGCACTTAGTAAATTTGGATTTATAATATGTTGTTTCTTGGTCACATTGTGGTTACAAGGTCCATTAAAATGACTAAGACTGTATATAGAGAGGTAAATGCAAGAGGGTGGGTGTTAGTGTAGGAAAAGGACATTGGTATAAGGTTGGGTTAAAAATTGTGTGGTGATTTGACTCTGATTTTTGCAAATGTTGAAAATGAACATGAAATTTGATTATTACAAGCAAAGAGCAGTATGCATACTTTCTTAAACAAATGGACAATTGCTTCTCCAAGATCATCAGCTTTCTGTTTTTTGAGATGAATCTCTGGAAAACTAGTCACAATCATAAACCTGATAGAATTAAAAACTAATAATGCTTCAATTTTTCAAGACTTGTTCTCTCACAGCATTTGCTGGCTGTAACTCACAGACGTTATCTAGTCAGCCAGCAAAGAACATTGCAGTTGTACTTAAGTGAAGCATAGATTAACATCCCCTCAGACAGAGTCGATACTATCTGCTATTGAGATAACAAAGAAACAAAGCACCTAAACAAGGAAAACTTCAACATTTTGTCTGGACTATATGTATATGTTAAAACTGCATAGTAACTAAATAAGCAAAATATTTTTTAAATTCCTATTTTACTTTAAGCAGGTATAAAACCTTTGATGTGCCTGCATATCACAATTTAGAATTCTGATATGGTACTTACCTCTTCTCACAAGATTAGCTACTCTCGTTCAGTGCTACCCTCTATATGCAAACTGTTCATAATGCATGCCACTAGCCTTGCGCACCCCCCCCCTCTGTTGGAAATATCATGTTCCAACATGTCTCATGCATAATCTCTTAACCAATAGTAGCTTGACATGATCATGTGATGCATGTGACTCCCTCTACACTCCTCTATGGAACCTTGACTTCTCGTTTGGCAGCGTTCGAGTTCAGACATTTTGTGTGTGTGTGTGTGTGTGTGCTAGTGCTAATGTGTGTTGATGGAACATTCTTTCCTGTCAAAAGTGGTTTCTTGTTGAAATTAACTTTTAATTTCTTTACTATAAACCAGTTCAATTTTTGCTGTCTATTTCAGCAAAAAGTTGATCACTTGTGAGTTCTGTTTTGCATTATGAATTCCGAAGTTTGGGTTACCACTTTAGGGGTCAAACCAACAACTAATGTTGTTCCTCAGGCTTCAGGTGTGGATGACCCAATGGTAGATCTTTCTGTTTTTTCTGTGTCGGGAGATTGAACACTACATGGGTCAACCTTTGTCCCCAATTATTGCCCAGTCTCCTTCTGAATTGGCGGAAATTCTACAAAATGACGAGGATTTTGATAGCCTCCAGAGTTTGCCGCTTCTTCCCGCTTGCTACCTGAGAAATCATCTAGACCTAATTCAATCTTCTTGGATTTTGTGTCTCAGGTTTGTGATATTCTATCCCTTTCCCTTATTCCCCTCGACCTTCTTTATTACATGAAACCTCTTCTCAACCATTTTTGGTTTTCTCACTCCCCAGATATTCAGGTACATGCTGATAACTTTGTCTCTCAATTAAGTGAGTGGATGAGCATGCTGTGCCCCCAAGGCCCTCGGATCAACACGCCCTTTATTACCATCGTGCTGACAATCCATTTTTGGTTCAGCAGTTGTTGGATTCGTTGTTACCTCTTTGGTGTGTGGTCCCAATTATAATGTCAGTCTTACCCATGCCCAATATTCTTGCCTTTGTCTTACTCTAACCACCTTTCTATGGTATCTTTCTTCCATACATCTCCTCTTTGAGGCACTCCACAGAAATCCTGAGGGTTTTACTATGAATACCCTGCACATTCTCTCCTCTACTTTAGCCTGCATTTCTTCCTTGGCTCTGGGGTTACACACATGGTTTCTTTGCTGTTGGGACCTTATTGGTAGGGACACTGTATTGGTCTGGGTCAGTTTGCCCTCTCCATATCTACAAGATGTATGTCATGTTCCATTTTTGCAACATCATTTCTTTGGTACTGTCCCAGAAACTGTTGAGCCTCGGTCTACATAAGCCCATCAGCAATCCACCCTCACATCCTTTGTTACCCATTTGTCTCTGTCAGAGCCTAATGTTCCCCCTATTTCCATTTTCCGTCCTTCATCCTCCCAACCCTTACCCATTTCTGCTAGTTGGGGTACTTCTTTTCGTCAATTTCCTCGTTGAGGAAACATCTGTTGCCAAAAGTACCGGTGACTACCATGTGGGTTCGGGGCTAGAAGGAGCTCGACTGTTGGACTTTCTTCCTTGCTGGCATCCCTTCATCGAGTAACAATGGGTGATACAGGTTCTGTCAGAATGATTCATTCTTCAGTTTCTTTCTCATCCTCTTCTCTCTCCTTGCCTCATTTCCTTTCCTCCAGATCTCATGGCATGCCAGTGTCTGTCAGAGGCAGTTAAAGAATTGCTTTTACAGTGGGCTATCAAACCAGTTGGCCACCCTTCCAGGGTGGTTTATTCCCATCTTTCATGGTACTCAAGAAAACTGGGGATTGCCAGCTTCATTGCACTTCACATGTTTACTATGGAGTATTTTCTCACCCCGAGATGGGCGTTTTTGCTGGGATTGTGGATGACGAAAATGGATGTCTCCAATGCTTATCTTCACATCCTGATTGCCCAGCATTGTCGACCTTATCTTTGATTTGTCTATCTCGGGTGGTTTACCAATTTTTAGCCCTTCCCTTTGGACTTGCATCGGCTCCTTATGTGTTTTATCACATTATCCAAGCATTTGCTCATAATCTTCATGCTCTGGGTATGCAATTTCATTATTACGTGGACAACTGGTTCAAACAGGAATCGGCCACTCATACCCACCAACTCCTTTCTCTGGCAGTTCAAGTAAGCTGGTTGATCAAACTGGAGAAGTCGTTCCTTTGAGCTACACAATACCTGGCCACCTAGGTGTGTTTATCGACACCAATATCAGTCGTGCCATGCCTTTATGTCTTTGGTCCATGGAACTTTTAGTTCACCGAGACCTCTCGACCTGATCACTTACTGCTCATGGTGTTCTATCACTTTGGAGGATGTGGTCCTACATGATTGCACTTATCCCTCTCAGTTGAGCCCACATGAGATCACTGCAATGGATGCTTCATGATAGATGGAACCTTGCTCAAGATTCTCTTTCCACCATGATCTCCCTTCCTTCTTCAATGCAAGATGATCTGCACTGGTGGCTGGACAAAGCTCATACGTCGATGGATGTGCCACTTTCTCCCCACATCCAGACCTACATTTGTTCATGGATGTATCCCTTCAAGGTTGGGGGCATGGATCAATAACCAGGAAGCTTCAGGCCATTGGTCTGCAGAAGAATCTGTCTTGCATGTCAATGTTCTCCAACTTCTGGCAATATGTTGGGCTTAACATCACTTTCTTCATCTTGTCCATCATTGTCTGGTGATGGTTGATTCAGACAACTCTATGGTGGTGGCAAATATCAATCATCAGGGGGCACCTGGTCCAGATACCTCTGTTTTTGGACATTGGAGCTCTTATACTGGGCCCATGCATGTCACATTCATTTTATCACGTCACACACCTGGTGCTTTCAATCTCGTTGCATATCGTCTTTTGTGACCGGACCGGGTCTATTCTATGGAGTGGGCATTGGATCCTCTCGTTTTCCAGGACCTGTGCCATCGTTGGGATTCTCCCCAATTAGATGCTTTTGCCACGAGCCTCAATTCCAATTTGCCCCTCATTTGGTCACCTGTACCACATTTCCAGGCCTTGGTGGTCAATGTTTTCATCCAGGACTGGTCACACAAATACCCGTATGAGTACCTTTCAATCTGATTGCTGCATCAGGTAATTTCTCTGGTCCATTCCACTCTTTGGCCAGTCCTCCTGATAGCACCTTTTTGGCTGGCACAACCTTGGTTTCCCAGGCTACAGCATCTGCTTGTGACACTACCAGTTCCTCTTCCACTTTCTCCCTCCCTTCTTTGTCAACCTCAATCCAACCTCCTACATCCCAATCTCCCTGTCCTCCGTCTTCATGCCTGGCTTTTGTCTGGTCCTTGGGGAGAGGATCCAGTTTCATGTGTCAATTTTCTGCCTTGTTAGCTGGTTCATTACAACCATCTTCTTTCAAAGTCTACCAGTGTAAGTAAAAAGTATTCCCCTATTGTTCTGCTGATTTCCTGCTGACAAACCATCTTTGGCTCATGTTATGTAATTTCTCACCTGGCTGTTTCACTGTGGTTCTTCGGTCTCCTTGCTTTCAGGATATTGGGCAGCCCTATCTCATACCTTCTGTTTTTCCAGATACCATAAGGTTCCTCCTGTTCTTACTGGGCTCATGCATTTCTTCAACATTTGATGGCCACCAAGATGTCCTCCTTTTCTGGATTGGGACATTACTGTGGTCCTCCATGCCCTCTCTTTATTTCTGTGTGAACCACTTTCCTCATGCTCCTTGTTTTATCTGTCGTTTAAAACTTATTTCCTTCTTTTGTTGGCCTGTGGTCACCAACATTCAGATCTGTTTCCCATAGACATATCACCTTACATATCTTCATTACCTCGATTGTACCTTTCTCCTTAATACCTCAATAACTTGAGAGGGTAATTCATATTTTTCTCTTATTTCCCTGCCTTCTATATCCCATCTTTACCCTCGACTGGATCTGGATAGATTTCTGTGTTCGATCAGGGCCCTTCGTTGTTATATTCCATGTACTGCATCTTTTCGAGGTATGCACAACCATCTATTTATCCCATGGCAATCTTTATTCTTTTGTGATCTTTCCCCTTCTACCCTTACGAATTGTTTCGCCTTTTGATTTGAGATCAGGGCAGTGGTGTAGTTAGGATGTGGCCTCCAAAGGAGTTGAGCCATCAACTTGCTGGTTGATGTGGCCTCCCACTACCATTTATTTACACATCCAATGGAATTGAGCCATCGCCTTCTGGTTTACGTGGCCTCCTACTCACATTTATAACTAATGGAGTTGAGCTGTCACCTTCTGGTTGATGTAGCCTCCATATCCGTATTACATTTGTGGGAGTTAAGTCCTTCCCTTTTAGGTTGGCATGGCCTCTTGCTACTATTTAAAAAACCAGGGGATTAGAGCTTTCACCTTGCGAGATGATGTTGCCTCTCACTTCCTCTTACACATCAGCTGGAGTCGAGCCATCCTCTTATGGGATGACGTAGCCTTCTGATCAACTTTACTTTCACAATGGAGTTGAGCTGTCACTTGCGGTTCACCCTTTGATTGGGTACCCTCATCCTACCTTCACGTGGATATCGGTTTCTGGTGCCGAGGTTTTGGATTAAAGTGAACCAATCAACATAAGTCCTCCCATGGAGGCAGGTTGTCTCTCTTCCTCCCTCAATTGCTCCATCTATGTCTTTCATCACTGTGTAGTTAGAGGGCTGGTTCCAGTGCTCTCTTGGACTATCCCTAGGTGTTCTTATGGAGATGTTATTGTCTTTGGATGGTAATGGCCTGTGCCATGGTTGGGGGAGTTGATTCCATTTGATGGACATTCTTTCACCATAGTATACCCAGATATTGGTGCAGGTTTTAAAACTCCAATTTTTTGGTTTGAGATTAAGAGTTGATAATCCTCAACCTACCCCATGTGGATATTGGTGACCCGTGGAGAGATTTTGGATGTAGTTTACTTGCTGAGTTCAGTCCAATGCACCCTAGCCACTCTACACGTTACATTTCTACCTTTGTGCATGTCACACTGTCTATAAGGTCAAAGAGTATACCTGCCTCAGTGTTATTCCTCTCTTCTGATCTCCAGATCTCTATCTCTCAAGTTCAGAGGTATCTTTTGGATGCTTTCAGGGGTGCTTCTTTTGTTCCCTCACACCAGTCCTTCCTCCTTTTCAATGTGGGATTCTAGCTTATCTTGTGAAAGGAGGTAAGAAACATATTGGAAGTTATAATTTTCCTATACTGAAAATGTATTTGTGATAGGTACTTACCTCCTCTGACATTTCCCACCCATCCTCCCCACTTTCCGGTGTTCGCCCCTTCTGCTAAACTTTCAAGTAAAGGTTCGGTAGAGGAGTGTAGAGGGAGTCACATACATCATGTAAACATGTCAGGTTGTTATTGATTAAGACATGATGCATGATGATTTCATCATGCATGAGAGACATGTTGGAACATGATATTTCCAACAGAGGGGAGGGAGTGTGCAAGGCTTGTAGCATGCATTGTGAAAAGTTTGCAGCACTGAATGAGAATAGCTAATCTTATGAGAAGAGGTAAGTACCTATTTGAAATACATTTTCAGTATAGGAAAATTTTAACGCCTGTAATTCTTTACTGTTTTTGTCTTAAAAGTAATTTCAACAGCAACATGTTTTATGCTAGAGATTTACTGTAATGAAAAACATATCGGTTTATGATTATATTCAAAACCCTCAGAGGAAGCAAAACAGTCCCTAAACTTTTTTGAGTAGATTATAAGAAGGACATAAATAAGTGATTGTAAATAAGTGATATTGTAAAAAAATGTAGTCTTTGATGATATTTTGACCAAACCGTGTTTCGCGTCTTAAATATTGTATTCCTGATTATTAATTGTTTTGCTTCATAATTGCAGCCAATATGTGATGAGTTTTAGGTCCATCTTACAAAAAAAAGGTTTTGTTTTGACTTCCAGTGGACATGTGTGATCCCTTCTCATATACTGCTGGACAACATTTTAACCAACTGTTGCATCGCTATGGAGCTCCTATTATCTGTCTAAATTTGGTGAAGAAACGAGAAACCAAGAGACATGAGAGTATTCTAGGAGATGAATTTACTTTTGCAATAGACTATCTCAACCAATTTTTACCCCCTCAACATCACATAAAACACATCTGGTTGGATATGGCTCGTGTTAACAAACTGTAAGTAACTTGTTTGGCTAGATCATTTTGTTATTAAGCTATTACTATTATATATGGATGTACTTGCCACTTAGAACACACCTGGCTCTACCCTTATTATACAGGGAGTTATAACATCTATCTTAATCACTTGAAATTAATGAAAATCAATAAAAAAAAAGTTGGATAAATACTTCTGGTAAAAGATGTATTTGTTGTAGTAACATTTCAGTCTACCACCCTTACATAGAGCTAAGAGTAGGCTGCAATTTGGTCCTTGTATTATAAGTAATAAGCTTGACTAGATTCAGGTCACATCAGTTGTATTTATTTATGAAATTTGCTTATCTGATCTCAGCTTGTTGCAGTAAACTGTGTTATTTAACTGTAAAACTTAACTGTAAATGTATTTCAAAGTTTTTTATTTTTATTTGAGCTGTTGCGTATCTGCTCCTTTGTCAATTTCCAGTATAAATTCTTTCC